AGATTTTTTTGCGTTTTTGCGAGAAATAAAACATATTTTTAGACCCACTTTCATACAGTTATCATTTTACGCAAAGTTGGGATGATCTTTAAAAAATATTATAAAACATAGACATCGGATTTAAAACATGTTTTTAAAACAAATGTTTTAAAACATTTAAAACGCGGTTTTTTTGGAAATAAGATACTGGGATCAAGTATAATAGAAAAAAAAGCAGAAAAACTTCAGTGTAAGACTCAAGAATGTACAGAATGTTTTATTTAATATAAAATAGAGTTTTTTAAAATATTTCTTTATAAAATGGCATTTTTAAGATTTGCATGTACGAAACCAAAACAGGATTGACAGCATTGGCTTCTTCACCTTGAACAATTTCTTATTTTCAGAAATGTGCAACGTTCAGTAGTGTTTGTTTAGGTGCTTGAAAACTTTAACAAGCTTTGCTGCCTTTTCCTGTCCAAGTCGATTTTTAAGTTTTGAATGAACAAGTCTATAAGTAGAGAAAATTCTCTCAATTCCCGCTGAAGAAACCAATGCTGTGTGCAGCTGTGTAACTAATTTTAAAAGACGTTCATCAATTCTGTCAGGTAGTGACTGCCATCATGTAAGAGGAGTGATATTAGTTAGCATAGACTCTGCAAACATGTATTGCAGAAATGGGCTAGTTTTTGCCAAGTATTTTAAAACTGAAGGCATAGCATCTGGGTAGTTAGTCTGGCACACAGTTAGTGCAGCATTTTTCATACTGTCTGTGATCTTTGCACCATGGTATCTTCGGTCCAGAAGATTTGCTAAAAAGTGATAGTCTGTGACAACCATATCAAATCTATCTTTGTCTGCTTGTGTGACTCCAGTGATCCCAAGTTGTTGCAAGTAATTTTGAACACTATAAAAGCGATAATATCATTAGATGTACAAAGTTAATGAATTTTAATAAACACAATTTTGAAATTAAATCGATTACAAAAAACAATTCTGGCTAATGTAACTTCACCAAACCATAATTCGATTCCTTTACTGATTGTGCAGTCATTTCTTTACATTTTGCCTAATGCAACAGCAACGATCTTTAAACGTGTCAGCAAATCTCCAAAATCACGCTTAAAAGATTTTGGCTAGAATATCCTTGTGAATTACGAGCCTGTTTTCATCGCAAACCTGTTACCATAAAATTTGTAACGGTTGTCAAGATTAAACACTTCATACTTATTATTCAGAACTCATTGAGTACATGAATAGAGTTAACTAGCATTAGAGTAAACAGTCAGTTCACGAAACAAAATAATCATATGTTTCATCTCATTATTATTACTCTAAATATATTATTACTATATCACTATAAGTAATCACATTTTAACACAACTAGTGTATGCTTTATGAATTAGTGACTTTCCCCACAATTCAAAATAAGAAAGTAAAAAACAACTTAAAGTAATGATAAAACCTTCGTCAGGATAGGCCAATTCTGAATGTATGACTCTAAGCAATCAGCTAAGCTGTTCCAAAGTACATCCTGTGGTAATATTAATCCTTTTCCACCTGCTCTTTGTATTTGGCTTTCGGAAAATAATGATTCCGGAAGTATATAATGATGTGCTTAACTTGTTCATTAACCGCTTTCATATTGATTTCTTGAGTCAGTAAGTTTAAAATATGAGCAGAGCCTCCGTAAGTGACAATATCTAAATTTTCTGTCATTGCTAATGTTTCTCTCATTTTTTTTCATATTGCTTGCGTTGTCACTTACGAGGATTCTTACTTCACAGCCATACTTTTGATTGCATTTTTTTTATTTCTGCATTTGCAATAAATTCTAAGTAGTTTGATATGTGCTTTTCTGCGCCTGTATAAACTGAGTCAATCAAATGAACTGTTCCATCAGGATCAGTCAGACAAACACAAATCACTTGTTCATTATGGATATTACTCCACCCATCAATAGCCATACAGACTGTAATAACCTTTAACTCATCAGCTGATTCACTCTCAATGGAATTGTATACAGTGTCCAGCAAGCGTCTCCCAATTTCCTTTCACTGTGGAGGCTCATATCCAGGTCGCAACATCTGACAAAATTTTATAAATTCGGGGTGTTCTACACGAGTAAAGGTTGAATTGAAGGCATATATAAATTTTGCGCATTGGAGATCCAACTGCATTTTTTTTTATTAGCTGACGTTTTCACAATAAATGAATCAATGCGTTGCAATTTTACTTTGCTTTGGGATGCAGTTGCCAGTGAAACGAGTGGAGCCAAGAGTGATAGCGGAGTGCTTCCCACTGGTCTCAGACTTAGTCTCCTGATTTTCTGACTCCTGCCATTCTAAATAATAAATATAGAAACAATAAATTAATTATTAATTAGGTGCATGTTTTTAAAATTACTAGTATATACAGACGTGTGAAAATTATTAGACTGAAGTCGAACCAGTGCAATATAAAATGATACATTTTAGATTAAGAACCAAAAATAATACAATTTATGCATGAGTCTAATAATTTACACACTTGTATGTTTAGTTCACAATGATTATGACATTAATTATATACTATTGACTTTAGTTTCCAAGACCTAATTAATTTCCGCTCGGAAAACTTTTAATCTATTGATTTTTTTATATTAAATAATTATTTCCACGTAAAAGCGAATCTGACAGCCGAAATAATTGCGGGAATAAATACCTCCAAACAACGTGTTTTTATAGAAAAACTGTATGAAATATTTAAAATAATCAAAAGTGCTTTTGTTTCATGAATAAAGCTGAAAGGAATTGTTATTCTTTCATTTGACTGGCATGAAAATTCACACGTGCAGTCTGCATTGTTTACAAATCAGTTGACAGTATAACATAATTTCTAATTTTTATGCTATTAAAATACGAAAGAAACTGAAAAAAGGTATATATGTAAAAAATTATACTGAATAAAAAAGAAAAACAGCCGGCTAATGTTATAAAAATCATCCAATAGTATTTTAAAAAATTTTAGCGAAGTCAAAACGGTCCTATAAAAGTTTAGAACGATTTCATTAATTTTATTTAAAAAACTCTCATAAAAAACAACGAGGCAATTAACATGCTAATTAATAAAACGTTATAAAAAACATTCGCAGCAAAAGTAATTAATAAAATTTTCATAGGTCATCGATAACGATGTATATGTATAGCCCATACATTTTTGGAAAAGGACCGTTTTTTTCGGTAACGCTATGTAAACTGCCCGAGAAGGCAGAACTATGTAACTCAGGCGAAGAAGTTAAAAATATCTATATAGGTACAAATTGAGTTATGACCCACATAAAACTTTTTAGCTACCTATAAAAAAAATTAAAATTTATAATGGTTCAAAATACTCACCTAGCTGTTGCAATTCCTGTATATCATCCTGTAGGTGGTTATATTCAATATGTTTTTTCATACGAGCGACTAATCCAGCCATTTTTTTCCTACATAATTTGCATTGCGCCTTGCCGGTTTTCCTAAATTTCCAGAAATTAGTTTGTACTGATTCCAGATATTATCAAGTCTTCTTCCTGCACTCATTTTTTACTTAACAAGTAACAACGATAATAATAATGTCTTTTTCCATCCAAGTAATATTACAACACATTAGCTGTATTGCTAACAGTATTAACTGGCATGTACTGTCAGGAAATCTCATCTTAGAGATAAAAGTCGACATGTCACGTGCTTTTATGACCCATGACAGTGAGACAAATTTCGCATTCCCACGTTCACGTTTAGTTCACAAGTCAGAAAAAGTTTATTTACTAAATTTATGTAATAAAACATTTTTTAAAATTTAAAACATTGTTTTAAAACAGTATTTTATAACGTAATATAAAACTGTTTTAAAACAAAAAAACAAAGGTTTCTAAATGACACGTGTATCATTGTTTCATTTAAAAAAAAAACATAAATTTGCCAACCCTGCTTTTATGTAACAGCTGTATGAAGATATATGGCAAGTAGTTGTATATCGACAACTAGCTTAAAAGCCTAATTTTTAAAATTAGTGCTAGGTAAAGTAAGTAATGGAAAATTTATTATTATAACGTCCTTTGAGTTATTGGATTGTTTACTCACTTACAGCCATAATATAAATTATAGAGGATAATAATTTTAATGGAATATTATTAATAATATTGCATCGATTGTTTTCGTTCAAGTAATTGCATAAATAGGTACAGTACAGCAGTTATTTTCGAGAATATAACGTACTTTAAAATGATACGAAAAGAATTAAAAGATATTTTTGGTGACTATTTTTATGCAATTTTAAACCTTGCTCAAATTTTCGGAATTAATATCACGAGAAATTCATCAGATAACAAATTTAAAGTATATTATCGATTTATAATATACGTTGCGTTAAATTCATTTTTGTATCAAACTATACTGGCAGTGGTGAAAAAATCAGAAAACGAAATCTATTATTGTGAAATTTCATTCCCTCAAAATATATCAAACATTCTGAATTTAATCGTTATGTGCATGATTATTTCGATATTAGTTTTCTTATATCTTCTTAATTCTCCAACCTTCGCTGACAATTTAAATAAATTCTTAATTATACTTAAATCGTTTGCTCGTTTATCATCTGACTTAAAAATGGACGATCCAAAATATCATAAAAAAGCCATATTCTATTGCTTGTTCAGTTACATTAATTTTTATTTTATTTTAATAAATACATATATGTATTTAAGATACAGGAAAAAACAGATATGGAACGATTCTGATATATTTTGTTACTGTTATTTTGCTGTTCTTCTTGGATATATATTAGGATTTATAGTAATAGCAGCATATCTTGGATACACAATAATTCGCGTTCTTATGCAAGCTAAACGTTCTTTTTCAACTGAAACACACGAAAAAAATTTAAAATCAATCAAAGATGTCATTATTATCCACCAGAAAGGAATAATGTTATATAATTTAATTAAAATTGTTGATCGCATGATTGGAGCAATTAATATGGAAATAATACTAGCTATTATATGTGAAGCCATTCCCTGTTTATACGCAATTCTTTTTATGGATTGTCCCACTTATATTGTATTCGTCTGTTGTATTGTTTTTGTTTCGTTATTTTTTGTTCTTGTTTTCTTTATTTTATTGTTTGTTCCTTTATCTGTAGAAGTAAGTATTAATATTTCTATAATTTAGTACTGTTATATGTTTAAATACATGAAATATTGATAAAAGTTTATTGTTTGTGTAGTTATCCAAGATGTGGAATTTGTTGATATCACTCTACTTTCAAGTGATCGATTCGAATTCAGAATTAAAGGTTAGATTACGTTTACTAATTTAAGTTAATGATATTGAAGTACCGTACAGTACATGTGATTAACAATTGAAATTTAATGTAGATCTTGAACATGCTTCAAATTCAGAAAAGTACAAAGGACGGAATGAGTTGTAACAAGTTCTTTATTTTCAATAAGATGTTTATTATAAAAGTAAGTTTAATCAAACAGAAATAGAAATTAATTTTAAAAAATCGAATACTTTTTGAACTATGGATAAAATGAAATTGTTTATTTCATTCATTAAAATGAACAAATTTTATTGTTTTAAATGTTTTAAGAAATTAATAATTGTCTTATTTATTTATATTCGTAATTTATAATATTTTGCTGTTACATTTCAGCTAATAAACTACGTCATTATCCAGATAATGGTATTCACCCAACTTAGTTATAGTTACAGAAGTCATTTCAACTCGGATCCTTCAAGCTTAAACACAAATATCACAAGATAAATATAAAAATTTAAAGGTACTCTTTTTATCTTTATGTCCATACTGTTTTACATTTCTGTGTATATATTGTCTATTTGGACATCGTTAATTAATTGGATTTATTCTATTGATGAAGTTTTTGAACAGAAAAGAGATTTTAGTGAAAAGCCAAAACAAAATACAGTTAAAAATAAACATATTTTGTTATGAATTTTCAACAAGGTCTATTGTCTGTTAATTTATTTACAAGTAAGTGGAAAGTACGAAGACAATTGGTTACCTGCCCTAAATAACAAAACGCAATAATGAAAAGAATAACATACATTTGAATCGAATAAATACTTTTAATAATTATTTACTGTATTTAATGACGTTTAATGTTAAAATTAGTTGATTTGTATACGACAATTTACTGTCTGGTCTGTCTTCTTCGTTAGCAAGGCAGTTTTCTGTTTTCCGGTATGTGCTTTTATTTGTACGTTAACTAGAAATGGTTTTTTAAAAACGTATAACTGATCTTTTAATAAATTTATATATATGAAGAAAAAAATATCGTGATGTTAAAATTATTTATTAAACATTGATGCAAACAGACTTTGTGTTGTTCTAGAAATCATACGTAATAGCCTTATGAAATTGTTGTGTAAACTATTGTAAGGAGCTGCTAAATTATTATTATTATTGGTTTTCGAACAAAAATCTGTATTAAAATATTTGTACAATTGTAAAAGTAACGTTATGTTTAACAGTTAATTTGTTCCGGATCTAATTCATGTTTCAATAAATTATAATTAAAAGTTTGATAATGTAATTGCTTTATTAAACAGCTTAACACATTTAGGGAAAATTTGATGAATTAATAATTCTTTTTTATNTTGTAAAAGTAACGTTATGTTTAACAGTTAATTTGTTCCGGATCTAATTCATGTTTCAATAAATTATAATTAAAAGTTTGATAATGTAATTGCTTTATTAAACAGCTTAACACATTTAGGGAAAATTTGATGAATTAATAATTCTTTTTTATTTCTAAATAAATCTCGCGCGTTATTTTAAAGTATTATCAGGCAAATAAAATATTGATCTGTTTAACTTGACGTCAAAAAATGCACCATTCGTAGGTGGAACAAATTAATATTTAATTTACACAAACTCATTTGCAAATTTCGTTTAAATTTACATTCAAAGTTTAACGAAATATATATGTTGCAGTCAAAACCAGTTTTTAGTTAGGACGCATTTTAACAAGTTGAAACTAGTTTATACTGGATGTCTTTGTTACATTTACAATTTTTTAGTTATAAATAGAATTTACTGCTGTGCATGTTTAGATTTTAGATAAAACTAGTTTTAACTTTGAACATTAGTTCAAACTAATTTTAGCTACATAAATATGTTTGGGGAAAATAAATAAAGTCATAATTGGGATTAAAATATTTGTATTATTTAATACAATATTTATTGAAAATATTGGTCATACATCTGTGTTATTAAAATTAATTAAAGCGATACGAAATTAATTACACACCATAGGAACATTTTAAAAGAAAATCACAGAGCCATGTCGGCAATATTAACTCTAAAACAACATCATTAATACAGTATTAATTAAAGTCATACAAAAATAATCATTCAATAGAGGAACATAAATATAAAAATTAAGTCTATATTACTTGTTATTGCAAGGCAAACTATCATGGCATTTTGAGTTACACAAGTTGCCTTTTTTCTTACAAAAGCACATCTTTGATATACATGCCTTCTTACACGAACAGTGAACAAATCCTTGGCCTGTTCCTAAGGCTGCTCTCCTGGCAGCAGTTCTTAAAGATACATTTGTCTCTGGCACTTCTTCTAGTAGCAAGAATTTTTCTTTGGACATGTCGAATTCTGACCTGATCAAGTACATTTAAGTTTTCAAATAGGTTTATACTTATTTTAAATTGAATCTTTAATTAATAATAATTATAGTAAATTGTGCCAAAAAAGGAAACAATTTTTTTCATAATAATTAGACTTCAAAATATTAACGAATTAACTGCATAGTTAGATACATTAAACAGTGACACAATTGTGTAGTCTATCCCAAATTTTGTTCCAAATTTATGCAAACCTTGTTCATCCTTTTGAAGAATCACTCCATAATATTACGGAGATCTGCTTTTGCTCTGTTGACATCAGGGATTGGTATAATTATATTATCACTGATTTCTACAGGAGCGTGTATTGAATCCAAAGCCAATTTCATTCTCTGGGCCTGTTATTCCAAATTTAAATGAGCTTTTTCTCTGGCTGCTATTATTTGGGTCTGTCGATTCGCATTAGCTACAGATTCTGGATCTACGTCACTAGCTGGTATTAGCGAGGTTGAGGCCGACGTTTTAAACACGAAAACTTGTACGTTGGACGTTCAGCGCCACTTTCCCGTGAGCCTAGAAGTTTGACAATGGTGTTTGGATAGTCAGTGGAATCATGTTCGACATTCCAAACACTATTATCAAACTTCTAGGCTGACAGGAAAGCGGCGCTGAACGTCCGACGTACACGTTTTCACGTTTAAAACTTCGGCCTCAACCTCGCTACTAGTTGCAGCTTCTAGGTCTTCTTGACTGGCCACTATTGTAATTAGAGACTGTAAGCGTTATGACGTGTTAGCTGAATGAACTTTGACCTCGGTCGAAATAGTTTTTCCTAAACCATTTTGTAAAAACCGGTTTTGTCTAGCAGCGGCGGCCTTAACCATTGCGAGGCTCCGGGCGACAGATCTTTGTGAGGCCCTTCTCCTTTGTGCAAAGTATATGAATTGGAAGTAGGTATTTCTGATGATTGACAAGAAATGCAAAAGTTATAAATGAATAAATTTAGAGTTTTAAAGTATTACATTAGAAGATTTATAAAAGTTAACAAACATAAAGACGACAAATTATTATTTTTTTTACTCTTTCCACTCTGTGGCCATTAAGAGGGAAAACCCTAATAGTCCTGCTATAAGAGTATAGCAAGCCAATTAGAGTTCGGCAAGGCACACAATCGGGCGACAGGGTGGTGAGGGACTAGACCCGACATATCCGAACGGACCCCCCCCCGAAAATTCCCTAGGGATTTCTTAACCCATCCGGATTCGTTCCTGGGTCCTCCACAGCGGTAGGGTGGCATCTTGACCGCTCGGCCATCCGGTCTACGACGACAAATTATCAATGATAATAAACTAAGGTACATAAATGCCTTAAAAGATATACACGGAATTTAAAAATTAACCATTTCAACATACAATCTTTGCGCAGTCAGCTAGATTCGTGAGACTTTAGGTAATCACCCAAGTGTTTCCAATCACACACTCCTTCATTGGATCCAATTCTTGTGTTTTCTAGTCCGAACGTTCGACACGGAAAGCAGTAAACGGCATCCTTTGTGAATAAATCATCCAGCACTTGTCAAGTTTTTCACCATTAGCTAATATTTTACTGTAATGATATTCGCTGAATCGCCGTCCATTATCATTTACAGGGAAAAAATCAACTTTAACCCGGATTGGACTTTTTAATACAATCTCAGTTTGGTCTACATCAGTAATTGTTAATGGCCACAAACCTGGGTCATTTTGAGGATTCAGATTTTCAATTCTGCCAGTCATGAATGTAGACATAGACTCAGATACGTATTCTTGGCTGGATAGGGTTGACGGTGGCGGTGGTGTAAGAGACAAAGTGATGTTGACTCATTATCCTCGCTATTATTACTAGGTGGCAGCGGCACCCATGACGATGTTGAAAGAATAATTTCAGCTGGGTTAGGGTTACAGTGCAGTAATGTGTCACTTTCAGTCAATGAAGGGTTTCTAGAGGTTTCTTGACCATCACTTTTTATTTATTTATATAAAGACCCACGTAGATTTTCTTCTACCCGCTTTCTTTTGATAGCTCGTTTCATTTTTGAACTCCGACTCAAATTTTCTACCGGCATCACGATCAAGCGAACTCATTTCATAAATTCTGTTTCGCACATAAAACTAATTCAGAAATAATTTACAAGCAGTTTTACACAGTTTTTTTTAACAATTCACTCTTTACCATAAGTACTGTTAATAATGTAAGATTCACTAAAACTTAATATCATTTAATGTTTATTTACCCACTGAAAGATATGTGCCATACAAACGATTATGTAGCGCATACAGCTGCTAGCAAAATAAGCGTCAGGTGACAAGAATTGACAAACGAAATGAAACACGGGGATACCCCGAGCATAAATCGTAAACACCATGAATCACGAAAGTAACAAAACCGCCCGTTCAAGTGAGTTTTCTAAGCGCGAGGAACAGGATTCAAATAGTAATAAATTTTTCAAATATGTTTTACAGTCAAATTACAAAAAATATTATTATTCACTGATAAATAAATAAATTAATTTTGATATCGTTAATCTTACCTTTTATACGAATGTGAGATTGAATAAATCTAAATGAGAAATTTTATTTAGGCACTTATTAATAATAATATATACTGTACTATGAATTAATCAAATTTATTTTATTGTTATAACTAATAGCTAAGGATAAAATAAAAAGTTTTAAATATCAACTTTTTTCTACTCGGGTTGTTGCGCGAGGCCCCTGCAAGAGCGAGGCCCCGGGCGATTGCCCTGCTCGCCACCCCCTAAGGCCGCCTCTGTTGTCTAGTTAAAACTAGTTTTAACTCAAATTTATTTTTGACTAGCGGTAAATTCCAGTTATAACAAAAACATCCAGTATAAACTAGTTTCAACTAGTTAAAACGCATCCTAACTAAAAACTGGTTTTGACTGCAACATATATAATAATGGCATAGGTCTAACAATTAGGCCTATATTATTGTAAAATACTAAATATGTCTACTAAATACTATACCTCATGCATATAACTTAAAAATATAGGCTATATATTTTTATATGCATCTAACATCTTAATATATATTTATACCTTAAATTACAAAATAGACTCAAAGCTGAGAAATACAAGAAAATTCTGCCAATAAAATGTATTTCGCTTTAGTTTTTAAA